ACTTGGAAACAAACAAGTCTGTTCTTACTTCACTTTTGTTTAAAATATGGCAACATCAAAGTTCAGCAGGTGTTTATAATAATTTTTAAGCTGTGATTTTGATGGACTTTATATATTTTATTGATGATTTTCTTTTAGATCAATTGGATTACAATATTTTTAAAGTGAATTATATATTAAGTACAGATCTTTACTTGGAATTGATAAAAGCATTGAACATGGAAAATGAGATCAGAAAATTATTATTCTCTATTCCACGGCTGGTAAAATGATTTATATTTTTTAATAATATTTTTCAGCAATTAATTAATTTACCCATTAAAATTTATAAACATTTTCTTATAAATAACAGACAGTTCAAAAGATTGTTGAAAGTTTAATATATTCAAATCCATCATATGGTTTAAGAACTGTTTATGATCCAGCTTTAAATGTGTGCAATAGTATTGACGATCAACATCGATCAGAATTTGTTTCAAGTTTATTGCAAATGATGACAGAACACGAAAAGATTATCAAAGCGGGTAAATTTATAGTATCTATAATCTTTGTATTTAATTTTATTTAATATTATGTAATTTCTATTAAACAATATTAGATGATAAGCTGCTTTTTGAATTGCTTCATTCTACTGCTGTCCACATCAAAAGTTATTTGGATTCTAATTCAACCCTGAATAAAAAACTTGATACTCCACAAAATTTTGAAAATATTCAAAGTAACGTCGAAGTTGATTATTTGTTTTCGACTTCATATTACCCTGACTTAATTTCAAAGTCGCGTCGAAAACGCGTTGATCAGATGGTAAAATCAAAAAATCAAATTGTAAATACTTCAAAGTAAGATACGAATTATTCTATAGTATTATTGTTAATATTTGCAATACCCTTTTGATTTTTCTATTTAATGATTTAGATCATTTGAAAATTTAAATACAAACCCAAAACGAGCGTTTGGAGATAATAAATACCTATATCAATTGTTATGCTTATTCGATTATCTTACACTTATTGCTTGTAAAGGTGAACAAAAGAATTCTCAAGTAAATCCTTCAATGAAATTGATAATACGTCGAGTCATATTACAGTTAAAAGAAGCAGATTTAACAAGTAATGTGGTACTTTTGTGTACATTAAAGAAATAGTATAATAACAGTTATTAAATTATTTCTATTATTTTTACTAGACGTATTAAGCTCACTTAATAAAGTATATTCAAATGGAAACGAATCAATTAATTATCTTATAGAAATAATTAATATCGAACCACATCAAAGACTTTCTAATTTGGAGGTAAGTGTTGATCTTAAAGTTAAAAGCTTTGGCAATGACTATTAAATTTATACAAATTATTTGTATTAAATAGTCTCGATCAGAAAGAATTTCTCGACGGTAGTGTATATACTATATTTTTAATATGCATATTGCATGTGAATTGGTGTTAATATAATTTTGATCGTTCTAGGTTACAAAAGGATAAATCTGAATATCAAAATGCGTCGTTAAATCCTCAACTGTCTTACGATCTGAATTCAAATAATGAAAAAAATAGAGAACTACTAACTAAACATGAAGAGGCGTTTATCACGATTTGTCAATCTCTGCGACGAAATCTTGATTATAACACATCATTCGCTAATAGAATCGAAGACTCCGACTTGAATTTTAAATTAGGTACATTGAAAGAAGACCTAACGAAGAAGGATCTGACCAATTATTGTCATTGGGTGGTAAATTCTATCAGATTTGGACAACTTGGATTCGTGTCTCTATTAAAACTAATGGTTCAATATATTGATCTATTTAACGAGTAAATATAAAAATAATTATAATATAATTTCTATTTATATCTTACTTTTTTAAATTTATACCTTTGATTATTGCATTTTCAGTTTAAATATCGATGAAGATATTTTTAGTGGGTTAATAGTTGATTATGGATTCCAAAGAGAATTATATCAAAGTATCAAAAGACTCATTAAAAACCGCGGAGAATCCAAGAATAAAATTGAAGTAAGCGTGTAAGCATTATTTAAATTTGGTTTCAATAACATTACTCAACACACTCGATATTTCAACGATAAAAGATAGGTATGAATCTATTCCTCAAAGCGTTCTCTTTATTACCGCGTCATACAAGATGTTTATTTCGTGACTTTATGTTATCTGACAGGTAAAATTTTCTGTTATATAACTATAATATATTTGAAAAATCTGTAAACAATTCTTACAGAGGATGATCTTATATATAAGGCAGGCCTTCTGATACAGACTGTAAATCACCTACTTTCGATGATTGGTTAATATGGCCACTTGAATATGATCAACGCCTCACTACCCTCTGTAATCAAATTGTCTTTACAGCAGAGAAAAATAGTCAAGAAAACACTGATGATAAGTCACAGCCAATAATTAAAAATAAGGAAGACTTTATTAGATCTAGCGATGTGGATGCTCTTATCGAGGTATGATCAATGCTTTTTATAATTTATTTATCTTTATGTAACTATTTACACGTGATTACTTATCATTATTTTATTTATATAGTTATCAATGATTGCGCCCTATGTTATGCTTAATAGATTAATATCAGATTGTATACACAATAAGGGTGAAGGACTGTTAATTATTGATATTTTACGTGAAATTGGATCCGTATGTTGGTTCCGCCAAACTTCAAAGTCTCCTACTCTGATTATTAAAGTAATTCAATACAAATTGTCTTCGCTTGACAAAGGACTTTTACGTTTTAATTTGCAAGAAAGAAAAAACTTGATTGATTTTCTTATGCTTGCAATGGTGGTAAAGTATTTCTTCATTATTTTGGGTATTTATTAAAATATTTTTATTTATTAATTATCATTTATATGAATTAAGGGGAAAACCGCTAAATCGCCCATGGAATTGACCCTTTTTGATATTGGAGAATGGAGCAATAATAAACTTTTACTTGACATCAGAGAATATATTAAGTATTGTGTGATGCCTTATTTGGATAACTCAAATTTAGATGGAAGAAATGCTACCTTATCTTTATCACTTGATATTCTTAAAGTTCTTTTATTTCCATCCGTTTCAACGTTGCCGCCAGCAAACATAAATTGGTTTATAAAATCCATTCCTTTTTCATTGTTGAAGTTTATGGCTTCTTTATTTGATCAACGTAAATCTATGTCTGTCTTAATAATAAATAATATAGATAATATACATGTGGTGCTTAAAGAATTGATGAAATTATGTGCAGGATATATTTCATTTCTACCAGATGATTATGACCAAGATAGTAAGCTGTTCACTATATGTATGATATTTCTGAAGTTTCTGTGATCTTAACGCTACTTTGTTTTTTTAGATATCCATAATTCAAATGCCATTTTGATTCGCCAGTTTTATGACAAATACCGGAAATTTGGTAAATTAATAATTATATTACAAAACTGTGTGTATTTGATGTTTTAAATACTGATACATAAATGATACATTATAAAGATTGGACCACGCAACTTTTTTTACGAAGTTTCTTTGAAATATGTGAAGATCGGTTGGGGATTAAGATAGGAAAACCTATTATACCTGCTATGCTCCTTTCTTTTTGTGACTTATCTAAAGAAGAGTTTGTAGTAATTGATGAGGATTATGAAAGTGACTCAACAAAGGTTAAACAAATGATGACATTTTTAGAAGGCTGTAGGGTGTCGGATGGTTGGTGTGATAAGTTTATTTCGGTAAGTTTTCTTTGTTGTTTAAGAGTATTGACTATTTCTTTTAATGGATAATTATTAATTGACAATTACGAATATTCAAGGATTTGAACAGATCACAAACCATTACAAAACCTTTTTTACGAAACCTTTTCCGAACAATTGCACCTCTTGCATTCTGTCACATACTTGCAAACAGTTCTGGAGAGGAATCTTCATTTTTATTGAATGATTTGTTGAAGAAATTATTTTTTCATGGTTGCCTTTCTGCTGTTGAATTGTTAACGTTTGATGAGAATGATAATGAATTAAATGAGTCGGCTATTGCCGACTTGTCATTTGATGGTAAAAAAAAAAAAGTTTAATTTTCAAAGGTTTGCTTATGATTAAATTATATAAACCTTTTTATTTTTTATTTAAATAGAACGAACATCATTATGTTGTTTAAGATTTTCATTTGTCAATATCTTGACGTCATTACGTCTTCTTAAGGAACAACAAAAAACGTTCAGCAATTATGAACAGCATGTTTCATCACAAGATATTATTACCGATTTTCGTATTATTCAAAACGTTATCAAAGTAGCCAAAGTATTTATTTACTAATTTAAAAAATTAATGCATATTTTGTTTAAATTTTTAATGATTAAAATTCAATTAATTAATTTATTTATTTTTTATCTAATTTCATTTAGGAATCATTTATTGTTCCTAATTCTACATTGAATTACCTGATTGTGTTATTTTATACTATTGCTCAAGCATTTCCTTTGTTATCTTTTTCATTCAAGGCTGAAGAAAGTTTATATATCTTTTTATTATCTATTGTGAATCAGATTGATAATACACGTGCAATAGCGACTCATAATAAGAAATCAAAAACAGAAATTGATATTGTTGATAATGGGTCCTCGAGCAACAAAAAGAGTCGCAAAAAGAAAAAGAGAATAGAGAAGCGTCAAAAAGATAAACAACCAGAATTTGATCAGCAATTGAAGCAATTGGAGTTAACACAAGAAACAGATACAGTAGATAGTGAAGCGTCAGTGAAAATGTATTCAGAACAAAAAAAAAAATCAGCTGATGGGCCATTAATAATCGAATATTCTGAGTGGCAGGAGAGGATATTAATCAAAGGTATTAAGAAAGTGAAAAATGATAATTGTGGATGGAGGTTCACTGTAGCCGATGCATTGGGAATTCGAAATGATCTTATAGATCATGATAACTGAAGATTGCTATCTATATCTTTACATTTTTATTCTTTTTAAAAATAAATAAATAAATAAATATACCTTTATTAACTAAGTTTTAATTCTTTAGCTAAATCAGGAAAATTAATTTTAACCCAATTAATGATTTCAAATTGATCTCTACCCCTAGAATGATCATGCAAGAAATTTAATAAAGTTCTAATAGGTTTAAAATTAGGTACAATACCATCATTAATCATTTCAAACATCAAAACATGTTTTGCTTCATTAAATTTCTGATTTCTAGCTAAAGCTTCAATATAAGAAGTATAATTATTTTGATTTAAATTAAACTTCTTCTCTTTTAGATAATACCAAATTTGATTTAATCTAATTAATTGTCTATTAAACCCACATGAATCCAATACGATCGATACTGTAGTATTATTGATTAATGATAAATCGCTATCTTTTGAAGGTATTAACAAAGAATCCCATAATTGTAAAACATTATAACCATAACCGCACCTATTATAAGCATCCATTAAAGAATTATAAATTATAATATCTACTTGGTCAAGATTTAAATCCATTCGAATTAATTTATGAATCGTTTCTACCCCTCGTATATCATAAATTTCTCCTAATCCTTTAATTAATGAAGAATATGTATAAGAATTTGGTTCTATACCATTTCTTTTCATATCAACAAATATTCGTTGAGCTTCTGACATATAATTGATTTTTGAAAAAGAATCTATTAAAATTGTATAGCCACGCTGATCTAATATGATATCATGATCTCTTGATTGATAATATATTTGTAACGCTTCATTTATTTTTTTTTGTAATATTAATTTTTTACATAATATTGTTATATTTATTATATTTAGAAAGAAACCTTGTTGCAAAAGATGTGAATATAATTCTAACGCATAGGTTATATCATCTTGATTTAAGAAATGAGCTATCAATGAATTGTACAGTTCACTTATTGGAAGTGGTTCACTTGAAGGAGATGATGATTCTTTTGAGTAAGAAATGAAATTATTTAAAAAATGTTTTGAATGGTCTTTACCTAAATTTGAAAATAATGAAGAAAATAATTTTTGATATTTTGCACTAGTAATGAACTTTTCTTTAAATAATTTATAAGCAGAAACAATGTTTCCAGTATGATAATAAGTTGGGATAATAATGGCTAAGGTAACCGTATCATCATAATTCATTAATTCCTCACATATTCTTAACGTATGAGAATACTCTTTCTCCTTGACTAAATAATTAAGTAAAATATTTATAAAATGATTAAATTCGATATTACTTTCTTTTTGTTTTGGTTGTTGTTGAAGAAGTTCAGTTGTATCATATAAGCTTAACACCTTTTGAGAATTTCCATCTTCATAACAATAAATCTTTAATAATTTCGTGTAAAGGCAAATATCTAATTCTATCCCACTGTTCGTAATATCTTTAAATAAATCTTTTGCTTTATCAATAAATCCATAAGTTAAATATCCATTTAATAAACAATCAAAAGTAAATCTATCGATTAACATTCCATCTGTAAACTTCATTTCTTGATAGAGATGCTCGGCTTGTGTAATATCCCCTAATTTAACGTATAAATCAATTAAAGAATTAAATGTTATGGTATTCGGTTGGATTCCATACAATTTCATTTCTTCTAATATTTTTAATGCACCTTTAATATCCAATGATCGTTGATATGATGAGATTAATGAATTAAATGTATATTGTGTACACTTTACTTTATCTTTTAACATCATGTCATAAATCCTTATTGATTCTTTTGTATTTCCATTACGTGCGCTTATATTTATCAATATATTATAGATTGATGTATCTGGTTTATACCCCAATTCTTTCATATCGTTGAATAATGAATCCATCATTGAAACTATTGTTGATGACTTTGATGGAGGTTTAAGTGATAAAGTCACTTCTCGTGAAAAAGTATTTGTGAAGCGAAATAAAATATTGATTGCCGCTTGATAATGTGATTTTGTCAAATAATTTTGCTGTAAGTGTTGCTGATATCGATGTTCTCCTTGTTCTCTTTCTCGTTCTTTTAACGCATGATAATTCGATATAAGTTTATCAACATCTCCTTCTTTAATTGCTTTCCTAAACTCTATTATTATCACTTCTAATGAATTACTTATATTTCTATCATTCTCTCTCCCTCCTCTTGACAGTATAGTAGAATTTGTTGTGGAATAGTATGATACATTTGATGAATCTGAATTGGAATTTCGGATATTTCTTAATAGAGTTTGAGTCGAAGGTATCGTTGAGTGTTTCTTAAGGGTGGTTATATTTCTTGATGTTATTATAGGCGCTATTGTTACCCGTGTTGGAAAAGCTGTTAACCATTTGGTTATTAATGTGATATTGAATGGTATAGATTTTGTATTCTTACTAATTAATTTTAACATTATAAATATTTCTCGCGGTGATGGTTGTCAAACTTTCCCAGTATTTGCATCTCCCCCCAGGATCACCATCAAAAATCCTCGGACATATGATTTTAGGTACACGTGATTTGATTTATGGGTGGCACAGAATTGATTTTTAAGTATTTTTTTACTTTATTATATATTTTATTTTATTTTTTTTTTCGATATTGTTTTATTTTATTTTTTTATTTAATATTGCTTTTGTTTTGTGTTTGACGATATCAATAATTTAATATTGATAAATACAAAATTTTTTAAAAAAAAAATTCTCACATATCCTTAGAAATGTTAACGGTTTGACAGGATCCCGGATAATTATATATAATGTGAGAGGAAATAAAATCATAAGATTTGAGGAAATTTACCCCAAAATTTTTTAGATTTTGTACCCACTTTTAGTAATAAAATACTTTATTTATTTTTTCCTTTTTGGTTCAAACAACATAAAATACAATTTAAAATACTATCATTAAAAAGTGTTTGATAAATCTGGTAGGCATTAGATTGTAATGAATACATATTTGTACATGATTCTTCTACTTGATAGCCCAAATAATAAAGTATTTGTTTAGATAATAAATAGCAAAAATATTCATATCCTTTATTACACTTTGAATAAAACAAATTATCTAAATACTTTGGTAGATACATATGTAATCAGATTAACTTCATTTATGGGTTTATTAGTATATGAATGGTTATTTTCAGTTAATGTGTAATAATAAATTGCAAGAATTTGTACAAGGCATATTTTCTTATTAATTAATGCTAATGCAAATCCTCCCTTTTGTACTAAATAAATTGAAGAAATATTTGCTTACAAATTAAAGAAACATGATCTAAAACTATAAAATATTTAATCAATTATTAAATTCAATTATTAAATAAAATTTAATGAAGTCTATCTATTAATTAATATTTATCATAATTTGGTAGATGTAATTCTCGTGAATTTTTAACATCTTATTAATATTTTCAAATATTTTCCTAATATCCTATCATTCTAATCATATTTTAGGCAACCTTGAATTATTATTATTATTGGTAATTTGAGCAACCATTTTACTAGTAATAGATAGATTAATTACTGATAAATTATAATCTCTAGTTGCTTGAAATTGAGATTGAATCATTCTTTTCGAAGTATAGATGCCTGCCAAAATCTTAAAATAATTTCATCATATCCTATTTTATATTTTTAATATAGTTTTAACAGTTTTGGCTTTCGTCATATCGCTTATTATGATTTTAATATAGTTTCGTCTAAGTTTTAACTGTTATTAAGGGGTTTTATTTCTCATCTATATTTTGAAATATAAGCCTTATAATTTTCTCAGCATTAATATAAAAAATTAAAAATTATATTTCCATTATTATCCAATATATTGAAATTATTGTTGTGAATTTGTTATAAATATGTATTATTAGATAAATTTGTTATCTGTTCACAAACATCTATCAAATCTTTATTTATATTATTTTGTAAATCTAGGCCTGTAACATTTCCTATTATTTTAGTAATTTCTATTAAAATTTCTTCTCTATCTTAAAATTCCTTCATTAAATTTTCTTCATTGGTAGTATTATTTCATCACTTATTAAAAAATCAGTTGGAGATGACAATAATAACTCAAAATTTAATGTAATTACTATAGATATACACTTTGCTAAAGCATTTACTTCTTTACATATATCATTAATAAGAACTCTAATTTTATCATCTATAAGCCAAATTTTTAAATGTGAATTTAAATTGTTAATATTTCTTTCAAAATAATCATAAATATAACCTATTAAAATTTTAAAATTAAGATTAGAAACTAATTATAATAAAATACAGTAATTATTAAATAAACTAATTAATTTGAGAAGTTTTATATTCAGAATTTGAATTAATAATGATAAAATTATAATAAGCATTTATAACATAACAAATTTTAAAAATTAAATATAATAAATCTGTATATGTAAAATCTGGTAAATATTATTGTGTCATTCCAAATAAATGTTCACATACTTCACTATCATATATCCAAGGTAATAATAAATTAAATTATAATATTTTTGATGTACTATAATAAGTAAAATTTACAATAATAAAACTTATCATTATTATTTATATAATTTACTAAATTAATTATAAAAAATTAAAGTTTGTACAATACTATTGAATCAATAAGAAAAGATAATATGGAGTCTTTGCAATAGAAAGGGAGGAAACTCCAAAAAAATTAAAATTTTAGTTTATAAGCCAAAAATATTCTAAATACTATAATTTGTTCAGATTTATTATTAACTCATTTTTTATTTTTTTTTGAGTTTCCTTCCTTTCTATTGCAAAGGCCTCATATTTCATAAGTTTGATATACTAAAAAGTTATAATTATTTGAAAAATTCCCTTATATTTATTTGTTGCATTTTGAATAAATTGTTTTTATATTTTAAAAAAAATCACCAATTATAACTATTTTGATTCTTTCATAATTAGAAACATTCTGATTAAGATATAAATCTATTAATTCTTCTTTTAAAATAATAAATTAATAAATAAATTTTTAAAATAAAATTAAGTAAAAAATAATTTAAATAATTTACTAATAATAAACAAATAAATTAATAATCTTTTGTTTTTAGAATTAGAATTTAAAGTTTGAGAAACTTCATATAAAAATTCATGAGAAAAAAGTCAATATACAGCTTCATTGTCTTATTTATCAACATTTAAAATATTTGTATAATACAAAGGAGAGTTTGGTAATTGAGTTATTTCTTACATATGTTTAAAACTAAAGAAACTATTTTCAAAAGTTAATATTTAAATACTATTGAAAATACTATTTTATCTATTCTTTTTCACATATTTTAGATCTGAAATATAAATAATAGAACTGATATTTGGAATTACAGGATAATATAATTTAATATCTAAATAAAAAAATTATTAATAGTTAATAATAAAGACTAAAATTAAAGGTTTATTATTACAAAAAAAATTAATTACATATTATATTAATTCATCATTAAATTCAAGTTTTATTTTATTATTAGTTTACATAATACACTTTTGTGCTTTAATTTCTATTGATATGATATCAGCTCTAATTGATAATACATAAATTTTAAAATGTACAGTAAGTTCTAAAACTTGATTATGAATTTCATATACATTAGATACATTTTCGCTATTATTTGAAATAATTTTAAGTACAAATAGTAGTACTTTAAAAATCAGTACTTATAATATGTATACATAAATATATTTTACTATTGTATTATTAGTTTAAATTTTTTTATAATAGTATTAATCTCGTTATAAGAAGATACTAAAATTTTTTGTAATAGTAACGTAAATCTAAGAATTGTTCTTAAACTTGCAGAATAATGTAATTTTTCTTCAAGTTTTATATTATCTGTTAATGCTATAATTGGATCATCATAATTAATGCTATTTAAAATTTTTTTAAATTTAGCTATATTTTTAAAACATATTGATAGATCATTAAGTATTAAATCTAATTGAACACATTATCTACTAAATTAAAAAATAAATTAGAATTTAAAAAATTTTGTAATATATCATATACAATAAAAATTAATTTATCAAATATTTTTAATTATTCTTTTTGCAAGATTTTTTTGAAAAATAGCATATGTTTGCAGATTACTACTTACTAAAATAGTTAAAAAATTGGAAAATTGTTTAGAATATCCAATATTTTAAAGTTCTTTCCTTCATTAATACGATTTATCATTTTCATAAAAATTTCGCATAATTCTAAAAAAATTGTTTATCTTTAAAGATACTAATTCAATTTTTGCTAATTAATTCTAAAATTTAAGAGTACAATCTTCTGGATCATTAAAATATTCTAATACTTCCATGATATTGACATTTTTATAATATTGATAAAATAAAGAATTTTTATAATGAACTAAAGGAATGTATTTTTAGTTTTTTTTTTAAGAATTAGTTTATCAATTGTATTTTATTTAATATAAATTATCATTATACATAAATATATATATTGTAAAGCATAATTTATAAAAAAAATAAAGAAAAATTTAATTACCAGAAAAATCTTTGATTTTTTCAAATCAAAATATCGCTTACAAACTTTATTAATTCTATCAATATATGTTAAACATTTAGTACTTCTAATATAAAAAGCTATACTATTATTTATCTATATTGTTCGTGATTATAAAGTATTTAAAAGTTGATTATTTTCTTCTTTACTTAAATTTCTCTAATAGAACGATAATTTGATTTTATTATTAAACAATTCTTATGTTACAGTTTCTGAAGGTGATGTATCACCAAATGTGATTACAAAACCTACATAACGTAAATATAATTTAACTTTTTTATCATTTAATCCAATACAAAGTTTTCTTTTTTTTTAAAGTTTTCAAATTTTGAGTTGAAAAAAATTGTGTAATCTGTGAATCTCTATTATTACTTTTACATATTTTTTTTTAACATGATGCTCAAGAAGATCTAGATTATAGTTTCTATTAAGATGAACTTTTTTACTATATATACATATTACAGTTTTTGAAGCAATAATTTTCCTAACTTTCAGATGTTTTGAAAGCATTTCTTCTATATGTTTCATTTATTAAAAAAAAAAAAAATTTTTCATATATAAAAAATTTTATATCATTGTATTATACAATGAATTTTTAATTTTTTTTTCTCTTTGCTTTATTATTAATATGATAATAATAGAATTTTTTATACATTGTAATATTTGTAAATGGTTTATCATATAATAATAATATGATAATTTATCTCAATTATATTATATCACTTTAAATTTATGAAAATTTACCCATAAAAAATCTTACTATTGTTTTTTATTTATCTCATTTTATCTTTCACATTTTTTGAAAAAACTCAATTTTTATATACCACCTTTCGAAAATTTTTTTTAAGATTTACCTTATTTTATATATACCAGATCAAATATAATTATCTG